TTTGGTCGACAAGCTGGTGGACAAATTTCTGGTGATCCAATGGGATCAGTATCTGTTGCATTATAACAACACGGTCTAATACATCCAAGATAACAATTACCTCTTGGTCGTTCAGTCGGAAATGGTCGACTACCACGGTATTGTCGACAAAAATAACTATCAAACATCAATGCTTTGCTTCTAACTTTCTCCCAAACATGTTGACCAAGAAAGTCTTGATCACCTGAACCATTGTATTTTCTAGCTATTGATGGTACAAGTAATGGAAAGAAAATATCGAATAATTTACGACGAGCACGACCAGGAGCTGCACCCCAAAGACCACCTAATATAGATATACCATGTTGTTTATGATCACGTAAGATATGAAAGATTTTTTTTTCATGTTCATCAGATAACCATATATTAATAGTTTCAGTTTCACGTTTAACCATTGGTGAATCGACATCACGTGAAAGAAAATAATCAACGAATGGATCAAGTACTGGTGTAAAACGCCACATTTTACCTGGTAAATAGTCGAGCAGTTTTGCACCAAAAACGGGTAATGAATGCATATCACATATATCAACATTTGGTAAACTATAAAGAAATTTTTTTTGTGATTGAGTACTACCAGCAAAGTCAACATAGATACGTATAATCCATGATGGAAGAAGCACTTTAATTTCATTAACTAGTGGTTCTAAAAATGGAAATATACTCGTGTTCCATGAAAACATTGGATTATCAGTAAACTTTGATGTTGATCCATAGATTGAAAAAGCAATTATTTTTTGATTTGGTCCACGAGCAGTCGATTGTTTACTACATAAGGATTCATTCAATTGAGCAAAATTTTCATAAGTATAAACCGATTCTAGTTAAGAAAAAATTAAATATAACCATGCCATATTTTATTATAGCTATATGTAATACCTGTTTTTATAGGATCAATAAGCTTTGTTGTAGGTTCAGGAGGCTTAGTTGCAGATTCGGAAGACCCATTTGTAAATAATAAACGATTAATAAATATAACTGTTAATACCGCTACAGTGAAGAACACGTTTATTAGAGAAATACATCTTCGCCCAAATATACGACGAGTAGGACGCCCAATCATTTTCTTACCATATTTCGTGTTATCATTGACGTAGTCTCAATGGACAATGTTGAGAGGAAAGTATTGAAGCGTGACTGTTTAAATTGAAGGCTCTCATCGATATACTTATAATTACTCTTTACTTTGCAACTAAAACGTACATCGCATTTCACGATGAATATTACACAGAAAAAATGTATTTTTTGACTTTAAACGTTGTAAACTTGAAAGCAAGTTTTCTTATTATAAATATATTCAGTATATTATTTAGAAAAAAGATTATATCGTTATGATGAGTACGTTTTCAAAGTAAGTTATATTTCAATAGTTGAAGTGATATTTTTTTGATATGTCAAGTTTGAAATAATAAATCTTCTTTCGTATATATATATATGTACATATAACTGTGCTTAATAAATAATAATATTCATTTTATCAAATTGAAACTATAAATTCGTATTTTTCTATCATTATTGAATATTTCAATGTTGAAAAACGTAACACTTAATAATTTATCTAGTGAAAGTCATTCATATTTGTAAATACGATCTTGATTAATCAAAAAAATAGTTTTTTGAAATTCATAAACTTATTCTTTCTCAATATTCACTTCATAAACATTAATAACTACATTGAAACCATATCTTTTCATATGTTGCATATTATTTAGCATATTAATCTAGAAACCATCTAATTAGAGACAGGTTATGCTAATTTTAACTATTGTAGCATTATATTTCACTTCCTTTTTTTTATAATATTATTAACCATGTCTATACACCCATCTTGTTCTTTCTCTCTATCTCTTTATATGATCAAAAAAAGAAATGTAAGTATAATGAAAAGTTGCAACTACAATAATGATATAGTTTGATAAATATCGTCACTAGAGATAACATTATAATTATACTTCCAATTTATTACAACAATCAAAAGTACTTATGATCTTTGTTTTAAGAAGAATAGATTTACTGTATTTTTTTGTGGATTATAATTTTTATCATACGCTCTATTGTTTCGTATAAATGGTCATATATAAAATATAAATAATCGACGAATTTATAGCTATCGTGATGTGTAGCGTTTGATTTATTTCGATTGATACAGAGATACTAGAGTAGTAACTTTATATGTGAAATCAAAAGGAATAGAAGCGTTAAAATTCTTCCAGACTTAAAGCCATTTTCATAATGATAAGAAGAAAGGTTTATATATTAAATGCTAGTCTGTAATATAATGCTATATTAAGTAGTATTAGTGAACAGTGAGTAACGTTTTTCAAGAAATTTGTTCTTAAGCAGTTAAACGGATCGACGACAGTTTTAATGTTATTAATAGTATCGATAAACAAATGTAATTAGTTTAAGAATAAGAAAGCTTATATAGATTTTGCTTGTAGATAATGACATTAGGTTATCAAAAGAATAACTTCGATAAAGTGTTCTTATGTACACCTATTTAGTTATAAATTCAAATAGAATATTCCGTAATAGAAGTGGTATTATTTCATTTATTTTAAAAATATATAAATTAAACGAAAACAAAGTTAGTGATTTTATTGTTTATCCACGTAAATAGATATAGTTATAATTGTTTAAACGACTGACAGAATCTAAATTATAACTAACCAGTTGTCGGTCAAAATCGATTCAAGAAATAATTGACAATGACAGTATATAATACAAACTATTATACACCTACACACATTCTAGCACAAAGAATAGAAAATGACTTTTCTTGACATATTATAAATGTATATACGAATTGCACCCACCAACCAACTGACCCTACTTACAAATGTCACAAAAATACTAAATATTACTTATTTATCTATCTATATGAAATGTTTTTATCAGTCTAGAGAATTTCTATTATTTTATCTGGAAAAAAAACTAATATTTTTTTCAAATGGATATATAATTTAAATACATATGAATAAATAATTGTTTTTTTTTCGAGAAGAAGAATGATATTAATTTATAATGAGTTATTTTTTTTTATAGGTTAATATATATTAGGTATACATTAAAATTAAGATTAAAGATTGATCTTTTACTTTGTCTACATCTTGAAAAGTCATAACTAATAACATCAATTTAGTTAATAGATAAAGAATTGAATTATTACCAACAGAATTAATCAAATACCCAAATATCATCTGCTTATCAATATGACCTTCAGTACAAGGCCCAAAATAAAAAAACAGATTCACCTTTATCTCTATATGTTATTCCAAATGAGAATAAAATCGAATTTGTCTATGAGAATATGTATATTTATTCGACGACTTGTTACTTAACTATCTGTTTCTATCATTACAAGGAACTTGTCAACACCTATGCTAGTATAATTTTCTGACCATGAACGTATAAACAAAGGATCGATGACAAGAAACAAAGAAAAAGATAAATTGATTTATTCAAGATGTATCATAGTATCCGAATGAGATAATTGATTAAATAATTTGTATAATAAACATTATATATATTTCTATCATTTTCTTTTTTTTTTTTTTCAATTGTTTGAATATCTATGAATAATAGATGAATACAGATCTATAGAATAGAAGAACTCTGTTAATGATTTTCTATTATAGAAGAATTCGTATAATACTTATCTATATCTTATTTTAGAATAATAAAAATCTTTTTTTTTCAATAGGTTTAATAAGAAGAATTTTGTTAAGTAATTTATAAATAAAATCTTATTTTATTCATTAAAATAAAAACAGTCGTCGAAAGATGACGCTATATGTCAATGATTTATTTTGTTGATCACAACATCAGCACATAATTATGGCGGTCGAACCAACCAACCGGAGATATGTCAAAACGCGTCAACAACATTTACTATAGATTTGTATAGCATTAGTTAGATTGTCTATATTGAATATAAATAGTTTGTATTATTTAATCTTTATTAAAAAACATTATTTTACATGAATAATATGATCATTTGTAGATCTATTAATGACAATGATTGATGGAATTCAGCCATCTTTATCATGGTCAAATAAACGAAATATATTTATAAATATTATTTCATAAATGTCGAAAGCATATAATTTCGATTGGCAAATTGAAGTATCCGCTCGTCTTCTTAAAGGCGATTATTTTGATCGTTGGGATGAAGAAAATGGGACGTTAGAACAGAATTGTTTATTTCGTGTTGATAGTTATGGATTTTATATTTATTGGCAAAGTGAAGGACGTGATGGACAAGTTATTGAATTATCCCAAGTTAGCGATATACGACCAGGAAAAGGTATTTTAGTTTTGAAAAAAAATTTTTATTTATATTATATTTTATGTTCCCTATTAGCTCCAACGGATCCAAAAATCGGAGCTGATCTTATGTCTAATTCTCTTGTTTACGGTCGAGGTAATATTGATGAACGAACAGTAACTATTTGTAGTGGTATTGATTTTGTACAAATAAGTCATACAAATATAACCGGTGCCGATCCTGCTACAGCAAAAGTAATAATAAAAAAAAAATTAATTGAAAATTTTTTTAACTTTGTTTTTGTCTTCTTCCTTTAGGCATGGATTGAGGGTCTAAGAAAAATTACGCATAATCATAAAGCAAATAATATATGTCCTACAACTATATTACGAAAACAGTTAGTATTTTAATCATAACAATTATTTTAATTGATATTGTTATTTTTTTTTTTTAGTTGGATGAAATTATCATTTATGTTAAATGTTAATAAGAAAATTCCTGTTCGAAGGTAAACAATGATTATGATAACAATAATAATTAAATAAAAATTGATTTTTTCTTTTTCTCTAATTTAGTATTAGTAAAACGTTTGCATCTGGTAAAACAGAAAAACGTATATTTGAAATTCTAAAAGAACTTGGTTTACCAAGTGGAAAAGTAAAATTTAATATATAAATTTTTTTCTGAAAAACAAAAATTTTTTTTCTTTCAAATAAAATTTAGAATGATGAAATTGATCCAGCAGATTTTACATTTGAAAAATTTTGTGATCTATATCATAAAATATGTCCTCGTACTGACATATCTGCATTATTTGATGAATTATCCTGTGGAAAAGATTATATAACAACAAAACAATTTGTTGATTGGCTTAATGAAACACAGCGTGATCCACGTTTAAATGAAATTCTTTTTCCACATTATGATACAAATAGTGCATTACGTATTATTGATCGATATGAATTACGTGCGAATTATCGTGATCGTGGTCATCTATCATGTGATGGTTTAACACGATATTTAATGTCGGATGAAAATGCACCAGTTTTTCTTGATCGATTAGAAGTTTATCATGATATGGATCAACCATTATGTCATTATTTAATAAATTCATCGCATAATACATATTTACAAGGACGACAATTTGGTGGTCGTTCAGCCGTTGAAATGTATAGACAAGTTCTATTAGCTGGTTGTCGTTGTATTGAATTAGATTGTTGGGATGGAAAAAATGATACGGAACCAATAATAACACATGGAAAAGCTATGTGTTCAGATATTAATTTTAAAGAAGTTGTACATGCTATACGCGATACAGCATTTGTAACAAGTGATTATCCGGTTATACTTTCATTTGAAAATCATTGTTCAAAACCTCAACAATTTAAATTAGCAAAATATTGTGAAGAAATCTTAGGAGATTATCTATTAACAAAACCATTAGATACACATCCAGTAAGTAAAAACAAACGAGTGTTAATTAGATTTATTATAAAAATTTGATTATTGTTTTAGTATACATAGAATAATTAGAAAAAGAAAGAAAGAAAAAAAAACTAGTAATTTGATTGAAATAAACTTCTTGTGTTGTTTTTTCTTTGACAAACTAACTACGTTTGTTGTTTTTTTTATTTTAACAATTTTCTTTTTCTCTTTTACGAAATGAAGATGACTATGATATAATAAAATATTTTTTTTTCGTAAATTTTAGCTTGAACCTGGTGTATCACTTCCATCACCAAATTTATTGAAAAGAAAAATTCTCATTAAAAATAAAAGATTAAAATTAGATGTTGAAAAAAGTATATTATTTGTCTTTATTATATTCATAATATAATATCTGTTTGTTCATAGGACATCTCGAATTATTTCTCAAAGGTCTTGATACCGAAGGAGCTTATGATAATGATGATTCAGCAGCTAATGTTGAAGGAGAAGATGGTCCAGTTGCATTTGTGGATACAGTTAAATTACGTGAAGAAGATGATGAAGCACATCCTGAATTAAATGTTGATTCAAATGATGATGTTAATCGACGTACGATACTTGGTCAATTAGGTATTAAATTTAAAGAAAAAACCAATCTATCACGTGAAGAAGAAGAAGCACTTATGAATCGTTATCAATACAAAGGTGCAACAACAAATATTCATCCATTATTATCATCACGTGTTAATTATGCTCAACCTATAAAATTTCCCGGTTTTTCTAAAGCTGAAGAACGTAATATACATTATCATATGTCATCCTTTTCTGAAAATGTTGCTTTACAACATTTAAAACAAAATCCAATTGAATTCGTTAATTATAATAAACGACAAATGTCACGTATATATCCTAAAGGTGGACGTGTTGATTCATCCAATTATATGCCGCAAATTTTTTGGAATGCTGGCTGTCAAATGGTTTCCTTAAATTTCCAAACACCTGATCTTCCAATGCAATTAAATTTAGGAAAATTTGAATATAATGGAAATTGTGGGTAAGTTCGAGAATCATATTTCTTCATATGGAAACTATTATTCCTAATTAGTCTTAACGATATATCTATCCATCCATCTATCTATACAGAATAAAATACGTGGTGAATGTTCTATAAAGATTTCTTCCCTGTTGTGAAGGTCATATACACTATGCATCTGTTGATTGTTTATATTCGAGCGTATTAATGGAAAAAGCGACTAATCTACTTGACTCATTTATTTGGTAAGAAGAGAAAAAAAAGAGAATAGAACAAAAAAAAAAAGAAGAACTCCCAATCAGCTTGTAGTATTAATATTACTATTAGTATTAGTGTTCGTATTAGTATTTGCTATTGATTGACTTTGTTTCTGATGCTGTGCAATAATAAGTGCGATTGCTTGCATACGTTGTTCTTTTACAGAAAGAGAAGAATTAATAGCAAAAGGCAATGATGATGGACGAAATGAATTACTTTCCATAAGAATTTGTAATTTAGCATAGATTGCATTCTTCGTTGATAAATGTGATAATGTTATATGATTAGTTGTAATAACATAAAACTGTTCTTGTAGATATTCATTTAAAACAGTTGAACATGACATTAAATTAGCTAATTGAAGACTCTTTTCATATAAACCACGTGATTTTGCCTGAGGATGTATACCAATACAATCTAACCAAAATTGTGGTCGATCATAATTATTAAATGGAACAGGCATAAATTCAATTTGTGATAAATCATTTTCATCGACTGATAAGACTGTATTTATATCTTCAGCATAGCCAATATAAAATGATGAGTGTTTAAATGAATGACGATCCGTCTCATTAAGTACTAATTTTGCATGTTTATAAAAATGACTTAACTGATTAATTACATTTATATTAATATTTTCTTCAGTTATATGATTTATATGATAATCTGAACCGACTAATGTTAAATAATTTGACATTTTTAGTTCTCCATCAAGTTTTCTCATTAGAAAATGTCGTTTTGATGCTATTTCTACTAAATCTTCAAAGGTTTTTATAGATGCTAGTTCTTTATCTTTCGAATGATAAATAAGTAGATAAAAACATCCATAGATTGGTATACCATAATACTTTCTATTGTCAGATTCAATCATAGATAATATATTAGAATTAATTTCATGAGCATAAGTTATCTCATCTCGATCAAGACTACTTAACCATCCTTGTGATATATAATAATTCATATACAATGTATCGTAAATATAAACATCAAAATAATCTTGTGGAATTGTATTATATCCTCCATCCCATACATTGAATGGTAACCAATTTAAACAAATATGTTTATTATCAAGAACATTATACCAATAATGTTCAATGACTTGACGATTATGCTCTAGATAATTGCTTGCTGCCCATGGAAATAGACCTACATTCAGTGTTATCTAGATATATTTATAAATAATATAGAGTATTATTATTATTATTATTTTTTCGAGAATCTCATATTTCTTACAATGTTTAAACTATAAGAAAAGTTATATGGTGATGATACATGTTGTATTTTGTCATTTTCATTGTCATTAGTATTATTTTGCCCTTGCATGACTTATGTATCCTGCTGCTAGATTGAATAGCACTTGACATAAAATGAAAGTATGTATGTAAGCACGCACATACAAAAGAATGGTAGCTGGAGTGAAAGTATTCTTTTTTAAGGTGCTTTTTTTTTGACAAAAAAACATCACGTGATATCTTATGAGTAGTATGGTTTCTTTTCTCGTTCTTCCTCAACGATAATGATGGTTGTTGACAAGAATGATAAGCAAAATTTTCAGTTCTTATTTGCATTAGACATAGACAATACTTGAAAAATCTAGTCATAAAAATAACAATGATTGATCAATCATAATACATTATTGACATATTTGTTTTTCTTAATAAGAAAAAAAAACTAATCATGCAACTTGAATGAAAACGAGAAATATTAAAAAAAAAATTAAAAAAAAAATGAATAATCAATTATTTATTCTTCTTATTTAGTTATTTATTAAAACCAGATTTTATGCGTCGACCTGATCGTACATTTGATCCATATGCTGAAAGTCCAGTAGATGGTGTCATAGCTGCATTTTGTAGTGTACGAGTTATATCAGGTCAATTTTTATCAGATAAAAAAATTGGTACATATGTTGAAGTTGATATGTATGGTTTACCAGCTGATACAATTCGTAAAGAATATCGTACTAGAACAATTCCAGCTAATGGACTTAATCCAAGATATGATGAAAGTGTTTTTGAATTCCGAAAAGTAAATAATAAAAAGAAAATTAAAAATGAAATATATACATATGTATATGTATTTAGATTGTTCTTCCGGATTTAGCTATTTTACGTATTGCTGTTTATGAAGAAACAGGAAAACTTATAGGACAACGTGTTTTACCATTAGATGGTTTACAAGCTGGTTATAGACATATATCTTTACGTACAGAAGGAAATTTTCCTTTATCATTACCAACAATATTTTGTCAAATTATTCTTAAATCTTATGTACCTGATGGTTTATCTGCATTTGTTGATCAATTAAATCAACCATTATTAATAAAAAAAACTGAAGATGTTAATTCATCTATTAGCAATTCAGCGGATGGTGGTACAACATCAGGTAGTTCATCTGCACGACGAGCACGTCCTATTGATTCCAGTTCAACTTCAACACCATCATTAGATTCAAAAGCAACGACAACATCAACTGGTGCTAGTAGTATTTCAACTAATACACTATCAACGGCAGATACAACAAGTCTTGCATCAACAATTAAATCTAAAACACCAACTGAAATAATTATTCCAATAACATTAGAATATCTACGTGAACATAAAAATTTTTGTAAATTAAAACATAAACAAGATAAAGAAATAATATTAATGAAAAAAAAACATGCTAAAGAACAAAGTGTAATTGGTGAACAACAATCGAAAATAATGAATAAAGTTAAAACTGAATGTGAAAAATTAACAAGATCACCTATGATAAATAGTGGAAATTCAAGAAAAGATTTAAGGTAAAGAAAAAACACTACAAAGATAATGAATTATTTTTTTAATACAAAAATTATATCTTCTCGCTACTTCTTAAGCTGTATTTCACATCGCTTACTTAAATATATGACACTAAGGTATATTCTAATTGCTCGACTAACATTTATACTAACTCTACTAATATATTTTTAATTATTTTATTTCTTTCATCTATATTTTTAATACATATTTTTAGCAATGGCATTAATTCATCTGGAGTAAAAAGTGATCCAAAAGTAAGTCAATAGAATAGTGTTTTGATTTGTATATCAACTTTTTTTTATAAAATTAGTTAATGGATTTAATTAATGAACAAAATGTTGAATGGACAACACTCGTACAAAGACAATTGATAGAAATGAATACAGTACGACGACAACATACAAAAGAACAATGTGATTTATTACGTCTTTTACTTGATGAAACACAAAAAACACAAGTAAAAGAAATAACTGAAAGACATTTAAAGTAAATAAAACAGTAACAAAAACAAACAAAATTTAATTATATATTTTTTTCTGTTTTTAGAGAAAAGAAAGATCTTGAATTAAATCAAGTACGACAAAATATTGAAGATAGTAAACGACTTGGTTCAGAAAAGAATATAAGAAATAAATCTGAACTTGATCGTCGTGTACGAGAATTAAAATCTAATAATACAAAAAAATTTCTCGAAGAACGAAAACGACAAATGATGAAACAAGAACGAGAAAAAGAAAATTTAACTAAATCACATGAAACACAAAAAACAACTCTTCTAGCTGAAATTGATAAGGTACTTTTTTTTTGTTAAAGAAATTAATATCCTGAATAGAAACTTTTGCATTGTGTTTAATCACATTACAGGAAAAGCATATCCAGGGTTACACATAGGATTATTAGATTACATCAAAACTGAGTATGATATATGATTGTCATGATAGAAGAAAAAAAATATTTATAGTCATATAATAGATGAGAAGATTATTGTCAGTTGGTATCACTCAATGTTTTTGATCTGAGATCAAATAAATTATGAACGGAAACTGACACATTACATCCTGTTCTTTATTTGTTGATATTCTTATGAAGCACGATTTATTTTTTCGGAAATTTTACCGGAACAACATAGAATAAGTGATAAAATTTCGTGATCTGTATATTAAATCATCGATTGTGTAAATAAATAAAAAAATATATATATATGCTAGATGTTTACGAGAAAAATATAACTAATCATGCAAAAAAAAACAACATTTTGCTCGAAACAGAATTGATAAAATTAATCATATATCTCTATTGTT